TTGTCTACTTATAGGTATATCAGTTTCTGCAGCTTGGCAAAAGCCCGAAAGGTGGTAACGTGTCTGATGGTATGCTGGAGTCTCTACAGTCTGCAGAACAGCTGCTTCCTGACAGCAGTGAGGGTATGGATGTTGGAGCCTGCGCAGATCTTCCATCAGATGAAGTAGAAAGAAGTAGAAAAAAGTGATGCCCGCCTGGCGTATTACAAGTCGGGATATGTGGCAAGGAAACTGATTCTTCAATTAGTTTGTGCCCAGTGCTGATCAAGTTGCCTCGTCACCAAGAAAATGTGACTCGAGATCTGCGGCAGGTGCCTGTTCATATTGCAGAAGCGGCACCAGGATTCTTTAGCTGAAGGGGGGGGGGGGTGATAGAGAGCCACAATTGAGTTTCCTCATCAAATGAGGTGTCGGCACGCGAGATGAGACTATATATATATTATATATACATATATATATATATAGTGTGTGTGTGTGTGTGTGTGTGTGTGTGTGTGTGTGTGGTGTGTGTGTGTGTGTGTGTGTGTGTGTGTGTGTGTGTGTGTGTGTGTGGTGTGTGTGTGTGTGTGTGTGTGTGTGTGTGTGTGTGGTGTGTGTGTGTGTTCCCTCGTGAGGAGGGGCAACAAGGGGGCAGGCAAAAATGGGGGGGGGGGAGCCCTGGCACCACCTCTGTTACAGAGACCTTCGTGAACTTTTCTATTCCATCAGGCACACTGTATGATCTCATCCAGTCGCTTGAAAACAAACTCGCTCAGTTTTCCAGCAATGTTCACCTCCATGCTCGATCTGTTGCAGACATGTGCAAAAAGATTGGACTAACACCACAGGTTGGCTGCAACGAGCATGCTATTACATTGACTCTATTTTGTGCTTTTGTCACCTTACACATGTGTACTTCTTTTTGAAAGAACTGAACCAAAAGGATGAAAAAAGAAAGCCAAGCGGGCCAAGCCCCATGTATTGTAGATAACTTTCCCCCCGCAGAGATCAAATAATTTCAAAGCTTCTTTTTGAAAGAACTGAACCAAAAGGATGAAAAAAAGAAAGCCAAGCACCATGTATTGTAGATAACTTTTCCCCTGCAGAGCTCAAATAAACTTGTTTTGTGGACGAATGTGGCTTTTTAAACTATTTTTTTTCTGAATAAGTGAATAAGCATTGCAAATAAGCAATGTCTCGAATAGCTTGCAGCAATGCATAATTAATATTAGTGAGACTGCACGAAAAGTTAAAAAAAGAACTGCTAAAGTGCACGTGACGCCATGGGCAATATAACTCGAGTATGCGTACTACTTTTCCATATGCTGCTTGCTAGCATGATAATGCATATGAACGCTCTTCTTTAAAGGAGAACAGTAAGTGTACCCTTGATTAGTGGAGTCAATAAGAGAAAAATACAATTAGTGCTTCAAAGTGTAGCTTGTAAAAAAATTGCGTGCACCATATTCACTGGATTCAAGTTCGACTGCACTATACATAATCTGATCAACACCACGCGCCCCTGCATACAGCACCCTAAGCGGCATCGGTGCAACTGAGGAACCAGTTTCTGCCGCCACTTCTCACACCTCCCCATTCTAGCTACCCTAGTACAGTCATCCTGCCCCTATGAAAGTAACTTTCTCCAAAGAGGCATTGCACCCGTAATTTTTTTCGTGCGAAAAGCCATCTTGAGAATTCACTAGTCTTGTTGTAGGGCCCAATCGACGCCGTCTAAATGACAGCCTGTCTTAGAAGATGCTATTGCTTAACTACAATGAACTAAGCAACCTTCTTCCCAACGGACCCAGAGTCTAGAATACCTAAATGTGTGCTTTATTTTGGTGCAGTGCCACTCGCTAGAGATTCGAGCGATATTCGCAACTTGCAAGCTTCAATGCTTTGGAACATTAAAAATTATGGACCATCTCCCCGAAGAGAACGCTGATGAAATGCGAAGCAGCAGCGGTGCGCACGGCGTTGACCCGGTTGAACGGGGCGTCCAAGCGCGTGCTGGAAGAACTCAGTGTAGCATTTACTCGAGTGAACGTTTGTTTGAAATGCAAAGACACGGGAGACGGGTTGGCTTTCCTGTAAGTTTCATCGCGAAGACTGCTTGCTGGATGTGTGCTTGAACGTTGCGAGTGGTGGAGAGGGTGAAGTGAGAGAGACGACACACGGCGAGTAGCAACAAGGTAGAGATAGAGTGACGTCAACACGCGCGCACTTCCAGCGAAGGCGTGACCTACTTGGCACTGCCCCAACACCTTCGGCCAGGGGAGCGCGGTGCAGACGCAGGGACAGCGTTACACAGGCTAGTCAAAGAGCTGCTTTGCATCTAATACACTGTATTATCGTGACCTAATTATTGTTTTAGCAGAGCACCTACGCCTCCGGAATAAAAAAAAACTATTTCATTTTTCGTATTCTTGTATCTATTCCCTTAACTGTATTTTGGGATACTTTTTTCTTAATGTATTACTTGAAAAAGTATTACGGAATACTTTTTCAAGCATCTCTACCCAGACCTAACAAAGCGGCATAGAAGTCTGGTGTGAAAAACTGTTCCAGTGCCCATAGCTATAAGGCAGGATCAACCGCATGCCTCCAGATCAGCTGTAGCGCTTTACACTAACCAACTGCAACCTGCTGCAACCACACCATATCCCTTCTAAATTTCAACGTGACTTGTGTGCTGCTCCCCACGTCTCTGATAAAGTGGCTGATACTGGCATAATATTCGGCAATTGGAAATTCAAGCTTGAAAAGCTAAGCTAAACTTCCTTTCACAGAAATTGATGAGAAGTAACAGATAATGATGCCAAAATAAGTATAGAGAATGTTATTATAATTGTAAATGTGAAGAAAGAAAAGTGGACGATAACTCGCCACCAGTAGAATCCGAACCTGCGACCTTCGAATAATAGACAATGTCAGCACTCCTGCTTCCATCACAAAGTCACTTTGCAGGGAGCAGTGTTTGAACATAGTAGGAGCGTTTGGTAGCAGTCCTGAGAGCAGGCAAAAGTGCCCTTTGTTGTGGGCTTGGGGCATTCAGGCAGACACTTTCCGCAAGTTTAGAGCAACCCGAAAGAAATTTGAGAAATTTTCAAGCAGTCAGAAAGGCCGTTCAGGGCCAATGTAGCACTGTTTCATAGCACTTGTGAAGCAGCATTTGTCCGATGCTGCATTTAGCAAACATCAAGGTAAATTGTAGCTTTGTTCAAATTTTCATGTTGTCTTTTTAGTTCCGTTTTATATAGTTTGTCTCCCGCTAGCCGTTATTTGTGTTAGGTGGTACAATCCCTGAGGAAATATGCGGTTATATTGGAGGTTTTCTTCCAGTAAAACAAGCGAGGCATTTCATTGTATTTTTCCTATTGAACAGTGGTTTGTTCAGTGCACGGAAAAATAAAAATAGCTTTATATTCGCCAGTCATGCAGTTGCGATAGTCTACGAACCCCCCCCCCTCCCACTTCCCTGTTACGCGCAACTTACGCAGACTGCATAACTAGTAAGAGTTGTAAGGCACCACTAGTTAAACTATTGTACACATAATGAAAGATTAACCAAACATATAAAGCCAAAATGCATAATTATCCCACTACAAAAGATGATTAAATTAACAAGCACGGCAAAGTGTCCAAAATACTTTAATACACGTAGCTCCAGAAAGTTGCGCAGCTGCAAAGCTAGGATCGTACTTCACCTCCAGTAAACTAAAACCTTTCAAGCAAATATCTTCTGGGGAGCGATGAACGCATTTAGTTTTGTTTCATTTGCCCAATAATGTGGCACAGTGGCAGAAAAAAATGGCCCCATATCTGCATGTAATCTGCAAATGTCGTCAAAAGACGATAGTCTTATTTGTGGAGAGAGTGAACGAAACATTTATTTGATGTTCGGCGCAAGAAAATTGGTGAATGGTATTCTGAAGGCTCTGCGTTAGAGTGGCTCGAGCGTGTAGCGGAGGTGAACGAGCGCATCAAGTCACGTCATATGTGAGACATTAGCGCCATCTGTCAGTTTTATTGAAAAACGGAACGCATGGCTCCGAGACAGGTGTGCGCACCGGTCTCAGAGGTGATAAGATGTAGAACGCAAGGCGACGAGTAGGTGCCACCACCGTCTCATTTTAGCAAAGCATTAGAAACACTCACCTGTTCGTGCCAGCGTTGCATGGTCAGCGCTGCGTGATAAGCGCTACGGTCCATAATATCACCTATGTATGCGTTTTCTAGTAAAAGGCGCACATGCAGAACATATACGTGTTGTTCTGGTGCCGCAGACGTGCGCAATAATCGCTTTTTAATGGACAATTGCACAAGTATGAATGCTGAATTCTGAGCAATATTGGTGGGCGCTATGGATGGGGTGGGCCATTTAAAGTACCCGATGCTCTTAAGAGTGGTCAAAGAGACAGACAGACAGACAGACCAAAATTTTTGCGTTGAAGGTCCTCAAGAAAGACTATCGTCTTTAAAAAGATGAAGCACCCTAATGAGGGTGCCACATGACGATCCTGAAGAGATAAGAAATGCTACCCTAGTAGCACTGGGCCCGCGAACATCGGCCAGTAGCGTGGAAAAAAAAGAATAAGAAAGACTGAAAAGTGAGAGTAGAAATGTCTGAAAGGTTCCCTTGTCGAGGCTAGTCGAGTAATGCTGCCACTTTTTTTCTTCTCGTTTTTCTTCTTTTTTCAGTGGCCCTTATACACCTGCTGATCCAACCTCCAACAATCAGAGCCATAATTAATGGAACCCCGAACCCCGACTATTTCAATAAATCAAGAACGCAATGTTTCAGCCACGTTTCTCAGCATGAGGCTTAATGTTTGTTGCACCTTTCGCATATATTCGGGTGCAGCAGTGTAGTACAGCGCTTAAATAACAGGAGTGGTTTGGTGCAGAGTGGCACAGGTAAACAAGTTTAGTGCACAAATGCATGAATGCCGCACCGGTTCTACCCCAGAAGGAGAAAAGAATGCCTTTGACGGCGACGAATGAAACACAAAAGACAGATCAAACAAATAAATTGCATTTATGTACAATTAGTCCTCACACTATTGTACACAACATTACACTTCTCCATGCAAGGTCTGTGCTGTCATCCAACAAAGCCTGTCCAACGAGGTAGGTAGCCGCCCCAGTTAGATGCCCCAGCTGCATCTTGCTGCATTTCCTTAGTCACAACAGCTTCAAGATCTTTTTTCTCGTCAGGGCTCAGCTTCAGCATTGTCGTGAGGACTGGTACAAGCCGCTCTTTCTCGCTGCCACCCCGCAAGGTGACAAACTGCAACAATATCATTGAATAATAAATAGACGTGACGCCAACAGATACCAACAAATGACAGAATATCACCAGGACCATATAGCATGATTTTCAATTCTCAAATAATGAGCTAAAGACACTCATTCCGCCTTTAGAAACCAAAACAGGAACTGCTGTTTATGTATGAAACTAATAGCATATCTGCCAAGTTCAAGGATTCTGAATCCGGAGATTTCCTCAAGAGGGGGGGGGGGGGCGTGGCTTGACGCGCTGGGTTATTTTCCCCCCTTTTTTTTGGCACCAAAAGACAAAAAGGACATCGTGCAAATCTAGAGTGTCTGTGTGGGAAGAGAGGGAGGTCCCAATCACAAGCGCCAACATCGGTATTGTGGTCTTATAATAGCTTGGAGTGGCCAAACGAGGTAGGTTTCCCACTAAGGTGAGTCTCTCAAAGGGGGAGCGCGAATAGTACTCCCAAAATTTCGCTTCATTAAAATAATTAGTAAAATCTATTTCCATTTAATCATCTCACGTATGTCATCCTGGGGCACACATGAACGAACGGGATGGCACAGCTGGCTGCCGCAAAAGCGCTTGTCAAAGCTTTGGCTTTGCTCGCTACTAGATTCTTTGGACAGGAACACCAAAACACTTTTAACCTTCTTTTTACGTTTTTGATTGATTGATTGATTTGTGGGGTTTAACGTCCCAAAACCACCATTTGATTATGAGAGACGCCGTAGTGGAGGGCTCCGAAAGTTTTGACCACCTGGGGTTCTTTAACGTGCACCCAAATCTGAGTACACGGGATCTTTTTACGTTTTTACTGCCTTTAATCTACGGCTGCATTACCTACGTCTCCTCTGAGCTTGTAGATCACTATCGCGCCACCTCCGCCGCGGTTTTGTGCATGAGGGTTGTGGCAAAATGTAGTTCCCTTTTCAATCCGTGAGGATGGGCTGTGCACATGCCTTCAAAACTAAGTCGCTTTATGCTATCTATGATCAAATCTGCCGCGCTCTTGCCCACACAATTTGTGAAAGAATGCGTTGCTTCAACTGGTCGAGTGTTGGATGCGCGCACACTTTTAAAGTACTGTCAGTAACCTCGTTGCCATACATGATCGTGTCAAGAACGACCGCGGTTTCGTCCACAGCAATTGTATCAACATCGACACGCACTGTACAAGACAATGCACGCGTGCGCTGGTCGCACGCGTACTTCTGCAGCTTTGATTACGCCGCTCTTGATCGACCTTCGTTCGACAGTTTCTGTACTGAAGTTCACATCACACGCCGCGATTAGAGAAAGTGTTCGGAACATTCCAATTTTGGCCCGATAAAGACATGAATTTGGCTGGGGAATATCATGAATTCGTATCTGCCGCGGTTTGCATCACTGGGACTACTGTTTATTTAGATGAACACCTCATAAATTCGTTTGAAATAAATGCGCTGGTTTCGCGAAAAGCCTGGAGTAAATTGACCTGCATTTTTGTCAATGCAGCCACGCACGAAAATTTTGATTTCCGGGAGATTTTCATGACAACCATACAAATGGAAGAAACGGTCAAAATCCGGGAGAGGTACGCAATAGGTCCATGATTTAATAGGCCAACAATGACAGATATAGTAAATATTTTAATATTTTTATATTCATGATATGAATACAGCAAAATCTCATTAAGAAAATCAAGGCAGTAAAATGACATACCTACAAGCACCAGCGAGTGGTCAAATGGTTGAATTGCATGAGGATCTTATCCTGAGAGCCTACTGAACCAAAGTTGCGTCGTATCTGGCCACAACAATATTGGGATCTAGTATGCAAAGCCAAATTTTAGACATCAAACTGGTGAATTCTATGCTAATGAGAAGCGTCAGGGGGCGCATACATTGGTGTATAAACAGCTGGTACGTTTTTAACGAGAAAATGTTAGAGTTAGAGAGCCAGTAAACAGGCTTGTACTTTTTTTACACCCACCAAAAATGTTCGCGAATTCATACAGTAGACTGTAGCGACTACATTTTCCGAATGTTACAGCGCTGCATGCCCTGGAGACCCTTCATTTTGAAAAAAACAATTCCCACGTCTCTTTCCTTCTGACCAATCTCCCTTCTATGCGCAGTGACGAAAGCTCGCCCATGGGCAACTTAACGTGCCACTAAGCTAGTCGATTGGTCGTTTGCCTCACGAAATGGCCCCTTGGTCATGCAGTAATGCAGTTCCGGCCGAGCAGTCTGCATTTTAATTTCTCTGTGCTGCGCTCTGCCATTTTTCAAATCCTCAGACTACCGGGAGAAGTGGTATTGTCAGAACGAAGCATCTCGCTCCTTCACCACTAGAGGAAGGGTGCTCCTCGAACCGCAGTTTCTCGCCGCTCCGCTATGACATGTGCTCATGTTGGGGACACCCTGCTCAATCGTTGGCTATGCGCCGATGACGTATCACTGACGTCATGTCATGTTGCTGAAGTGGGCAGAGTCGCGACGACGAGCTACACCTTATTTATTTCACCAGCTACGTCGCTCACTACTTAGAGAGAACTGAATGAGACCATTTTCTATATAATAGGTACATGGTTAACATCAAACAGGCACTGTGACACAAAGTAAGCGTGCAGTTTTCATCCCCTCTTCTTGAACTGTAGAATGCACCAGTATCATTGCACGAGTGGCAATGGCACAAACAAAGCAGTTATAATTTTATTTATATGAAGGAACAGGATTGTTTTCTGACTGGAGTGACACACAATGGCTATATTAGTGATCGGAAGTGACAAAATTTGCTGGCGTTTTCATTATTTTGACAAAAGTCACACATGGTTCAAGACAGGCCGCACCATATTGCGCTAAAAACTTGAAATCATTTTCGGCACTTTCTCAGATACAAGATTCCAGATTTTAAATATAAAAATTCAAAAACAATTGCAAAATGACGCTAGAAGTGCTGCGCAACGGACATCGTGAGGTGAGTTGCCCTGTATGTTTCTGCAAGAGGTTCAGGGAGATTGGAACCGGCCTTCGATATCACTGAGAGGTGAAATTCAAAAAGAAATGTTTTTTTTTTCCTGTCATCTACTGGGCTTTTTGAAGGGTAACAGCTTCTGTTACTACGCACAGATTTCTATAATTCTATCATTCATTATAGTATGCAGCATTACACGCACCTCAGCAGTGCGGAATGCCGATAAAAAAGTGTAGCAGGGCGCCTCCAAGAGAACGCTATGAGTTGAGTGACTGGCGCAGACAATGTCATGCAGCCCATTTCACACCAACCATCACTGATGGAGCATAGCGCTACTACTTCGCTGACCGGGAGACTGTGAAAGGTAGCACATGGGCGCGTTCCACAACAGCCGCCGCAGGCAGACCTTTGCTCATGCAGTGTTTTATTTCCATACATGGTATCTGTGGACACCCTTACTGTTTACTTTAGTGACGATATCATCACTGAACGCATGTTAGTGCGCACTTTGGTGGCACCGCAGAACATGTCTCGCCACTGTTGTTCCCTCTCCTCGCTATCGCTTTCTTTTATCCTTCGGTGTGCTCTGCGTTTGCTCAGACAGTAATGACAATGTCAACGCAGGAAGGATGGGCACCTAAGAGCTGTGCTCTAACTGTGCCCGATATCATGAGGTGTCCTTAATGCAACTTTATTTCCTATGCCATCCCTCCCTGCTTGACTTCCAGTGCATTCAACAGGACAAAAAAAAAAGATAGAAATCAATTACAGTGCGTGAAGAATCTGTTACTCTGCTCGAGCTTGATGTATCTAAAAATTTATTAGCTGGTCAATTCGCGACACAAACACATTTCAGCAAAACCATTCGATGATAATTTCGAAAATTTTTTGAAGGTCTCTTTAATATTACATAAAGGTTGAGTGATCAAGAATAGACCAGCAGCAAGAGAAAAATGAATAGCATTAATATAAGTAAAAGATGGCAAAGACAGCAAAAAACATTAAAAAGTAAACTAAAAGAAAACCAATGAACTTAGAATATAACGAAGATGATTGTGAAAGATTATGTTGGAAAGAAAGACCACTAGAGGAAGAGAAGGAAGCTACATTACTGGTGAAGTGTTGCACAATCAAGCATGCCATTGAGGAATTACTCGAGGCATCGAGAGAGCACAGAGGTGAAAAAAGTAGAGCTAGCACAAGCAGGAATAGACATAAATAGAATGCATACCAAATCAAGAAATCAGTGGTATAAATTTTACTTCAAGGAAAATTCAAACTAGAGCAGTTGCTCGGGTGCAAGAATAAGTGAGGAAAAGATACAAGCCTCAAAGCCATCACAAAACCACTTGAAACCTGAATGGAAAAAAAAAATGAAGCAAATGAAGCAGCAAAAATGAAACACTGTGGACATAGACAAACTATGTACAGTGAAAGGTCACTATATAATAATAATAATAATAATAGAGGTTTCATGTACTAATACCATAATATAATTTTATGAGGGGCACTGCAGTGGAAAGAGGCTTCAGAAATTTCGACTATCTGGTGTTATTTAACATGTACTGACGTTGCTCAGACAGTACACGGGCCTCTACCATTTTGCCTGCACCGAAATGAGACTTGGCAAGGACTGAACCCACCACCTTAGGCTCAGCAGTCGACCACAGTCACCACTGATCTATTGTGATGGACAGTAAAAAAGAGACACTGTTATATATTATAAAACACAAAGCCGAATCCTGACTCCTTCAAGAGTCATCTTTTTTTTAGCTAACATATTATCAACCAGAATATGAGCTATCCCAATTTGTTCCGTGATATACTCTACTTTCCTCCATTTCATCATGCGCTGCATAGTCGTTCACTTATCACAATGAATTCTCAAAGTCAGCTGAATATTGCTTTCTTTTCTCGCGAAAAATGACGTTACAAGCTCAAAAATCACTCTTCACAGCCATTGTATCAGCCATGGGTCGATTTGAGCATGGCGCGCTTGGTCGTTACTCAGGCTGCCGCAAGAGGCCACGACTTGTCCACAGACATGCATGTGA